GGCCCCGCAGCCGGACGTCAGGAGCTCCAGCCGCAGCTACTTCGTTAATCCGCTGTTCGGCGAAGCAGAGGCCGAGGCCTGAGCTGCGTAACCGGCCCGTCCCGCGGGCCTTGCGGGATCCCCACCCCCTCCGCTCCCCCCGCCTCCTCCGCTGGTCAAGGATAGGGTGGCCTTGCCCAATAAAGGGCTTTCCTGCACCTGTGTCAGCCCTGGACACACTAGCTACTCTTTTGCTCCTGCCTGGTGGGAGCTGGAGGGTCAGGTTGGACGGTGAGGGGTGGTCCTCAGAGCCCCTGCCGCTGGCCCCTGGCCACCTGCCGAAGGCGATCTTGGAGACTACCTGTAGGGTGGGGCGGCCAGAGGCTTCTGGCCAGAACTAGGAGGGGCCTGCCCCTGTGCTGGAGGAGCCCGGCAGGCAAGGGGGGTACTGCAGCAGGAGTGGTGGGGAGAGGCAAAGCCGGGTGAGACACCAGCTGAGGGTGGAGAGGTGGCTGCTCCCCTACCTCTTGTCAAGCTGCTCAGGCCAGGCCGTGTGGGGCTGGGCCAGGGCCAGACAGGTGGACCTGGACTTCCACCAGACTGGGTAGTGTGGACTGCCTAGGGAGGGGTCCCAGGGACACAGTAGGTGTATCCCTTCGGCTGGGGGCAGGGGAGAGCGGCCCTCACGCAGTGGTGGAGCTGGTCAGAGCGCTGGCAGGTGTGTCCTGCCGGGCTGGGTGAGGGGTGGGGAGGTGTCCATCACTCCAAGGCTAGGCCTTGCCCTCCTGCTTCTGAGGATGGCTCCGATCTAGGGGTGGGCATCAGGGCTGTGCAGCCCTGAGTGGGATACTCAGTAGGTAGGTATGTGATGGGGCAGGAGAGGGATGGTGAACCACACTTGTGCGTGTAAAACTGTGCTGACAGGTGCCCAGCCTGAACTGTCAGGGAGGGACACTTCTGTGTAACCAGCACCTGGAAACATCGCCCCCTCCCGAGGGCAACCACTCTACCGGCTTCTAGCGTAGTGGATTAGTTTACTGGTTTTTAAGCTCTCGACACTGGAAGCCGTGCTCCGGGGCCAGCATCCTGCATGCGGTTGCGGGTGTTGCCATGTTACGCCCGGTGCTGTGTAGCCTTCTGTGGAGTGAAGGCCACCATTCATTCTGCTTCAACAGCTAGTGTTTCACTGAAAAGACGGCTGACCCTGGAGCACCTGCTTCAGACCTGACAGGTGCTCCCCTCATGGCAGGGCAGACATCAAGTGGGAGCCCAGGGCGGGAGGGCAAGACCCAACCCCACCTCTGACCCTGAGGCCCGGCTGCCCACTGCCCCACATGGCCGCTCAGCACTCGCCCAAGCGCGTTTCTTGTTTTCCAGCTGCTGTGATTTCACTCAAGTGTCCCTGAAAGCCTGTCGCCTGTGCCTTGTGTGGTCCCCTTCCAGGGACAGGTGGGGGATTGTGTCTGCACCTGAAGTTTGCTACATTCCTCCCCAGGCTGTGACCACAGGCCCACAGTGAGATGGACTGGGGCACGCTGGGCCCTGGCGTGGGCTGTTTTGGCCTCGGAACCAGCCTCATCTGCCAGACGCTCGCTGGCTGTCTGCACTTAGCGTGTCCTCACGCCACCTCTTTGGCAGGTGCTGTCACTGCCCTCATCTCACCAAGAACTTACTGGTGGGGCAGAGCGAACAATGTAGCGTAGCCCACCACAGGCTGCTCCCTCCCATGGGGGCCAGAGCCCCCAGGGTAGCCACCCCGCCCACTCAGCCCAGCCTCCCTGGGGGTGGCCAGCTTTACCCTATCCACCAGGGGCTACTGAGGGGCCAGTGTACGTCCCTCCAGCACAGCTTCCCTCATGGGGCCTCTCGGGGCTCATGGGCGCGTCACCCCCTCCCAGCACTGGGACCCCAGGTGCATCCCCTGCCTGGCAGCTGGCCCTAATCCATGGTCCTCAAGGGCTCCCACTGCCCTCAGGCTGAGCTCCCAACCTCCTGGCCGGGCTGCTACTGCCACCTGGGGGCCCCTCTCTCCAGTCAAGAGCCCACACCTGACCCTGCCTACCATGGGGCAGGGCGTCTCCAGGAGGCCCCCACTGTGACATCGGCAGACAGGTAAGAGGTCCAGGCTCCGGAGGTCACATCCTGTCACATGGACACGGGCACTCTTAACCTTGAGCCGCTGCCCTCCCCAAGCAAGGATCAAGAATGGCTTCCACAGGCAAGATGGTTCCTTCACTGCCTTTTAGGGAGGGGCTCCCAGCATAGGGCACTGGGGTGGGGGGTGGGGGAGCACAGACATAGAGTGACAGGTGATCATGTTCAGCCAAACCACTGAGCACTTTAAAACTGCTGTCTTCTGCTTTATTGACAGGTAAATTGTTCAAAAATGTTCTCACGATTCAATAATTACAAAGACTCAGACTTACATTAAAAAAGTAAAAACCAGAACCCCCAGCAGGTGCCAGCCCCAGCAGAAGGCCCGGGGGCGAGGGCGGGCAGGTGCTGGGTGCATGACACGCACAGGCAGGCCTGGCACCCACGTCACTCAGTGCCGACTCAAGGCAAGTGCATGTCTTTAACAGCGTCGCCAAGAACGGTGGCCAGTGGGAGAGCAGGGAGAAGCCTATTCCAGGGCCGAGGACAAACTGTGTCTGTTGGCCAGTAAATCACAAGCCTTTACAGGGACACGCCACCATCTGACAACTCACACACGCTGTGGGCAGGGCAGAGCAGGGCCGCTGCGTGGGAGTGTGGTGCTGAGTCTACACCACCCAGACGGCACTAGTCCTGGGGCTCCATGCGGGGCTGGGGGTCCTGGCGCCCGCTGCTGGGCTCCCGGGGCCCTGGCTGCTCAGCCCGCAGGCCTCGGGGCCGAGCTGCACCCCAGCGCTCACTGGTTTTAGGGCAGGAGGCAGAGCTGCAGAAGCGAGCGGGAAACAGCACAGCTGACTTCACAGTAGTAGATACTGGTGACACTTCATGGTTGTGACCAGGACTGGACTGACACACATGAGGGACCCAGGGCAGGGCAGGCGTCACTCGAAAAGGGCCTCAGTCCATGGCTACAAGGTTGGCAGAAGAGCTTCTGCATCTGACTATGTAATGGCTAAATGAACAGAAAGGCCACAAACTAACCTCCACTTTCCTCTGTCTTCAAAATTCTAGTGACACAGGGAATGGTATACAGGTTCCTACTATTCTCCTAAGGGCCTAGGAAACAGTTTCCAGAAACAGGGAGCAGACTTGTTAATGAGGCCACGTCCCGAGCTGTCTGCTTCCTGAGCAGAGCAGTGCTGGGCCACCGGGTTCCTGCAGAGGAGGCTGGCCCCACGCGCCCCCTCAGCTGTCCTGGGCAGGAGAGGTGGCGTGGCGGTCCTTCATGTGCAAAGGAACAGCGTGGCCTCACAGCTGTGCAGATGAGGGGATCTGGTCTACCGCCACAAACAACGCGGCATAAAACTGATCATTATTATAATAAAGAATTTTCATCTCCGTATCTACAAATCGATTCTACATTTCCTTGGACAACACTGGAGGGTCAGCTCAGTCTTGGCACTGACATGAGAAGCCCCCCAGCCCTGTGGCGGTGAGCCGGCGGCTTCAGGCGTCGTAGGCCGGCTGCTCCAGGCCTTCGAGGGGGAGCTGGCTCCTGTGGGGGGAGTTGGGGCTCGGTGGGCCGCTGGGGTTGGAGCTGTTCGATGGGGTCGAGTGTTTGGTGGAATCCGAATCAGGCTGTTAAGACAAAGTAGGGGACAGATGAGAACCAGTCACCCTGGGCACAGGGAGGGGGTGCTGCCCAGCCAGATGTGCACATCTGTGGGGGACAGGGGTGGCCACTGCTGCTCCTCTCTTGTTACGAGAACACACTCTCTATGAACTTTTCACGTGGTCATTAACCGTGCCGGGGAGAGAGCATAACCCTCGGCCCAACCCCACAAATGACTCAGCAACTACAAAAGGAGGAAACCACACAACCAAGTGGTCAGAGGTCACGTACCCGACACTGTCATGATAAGAGCACTGGAAACGGGGACTTTCTCAACGCAACAAAGGGTGTCCCTGAGAAACCCACAGCTGACTTCCTAACTCAGTGGTGAGAGACCGAGGCTCCCCTCAGAGGAGGAATGAGACAAAGCTGCCTGCTTTCACTGCCGCTACTCAGCACTGCTGTTCCAGCTGAGCACTCAGAAAAATCAAGTTTGGAAAAGAAATACAACCGTCTCTGCTCACAGATGACACAGTTCTACATACATAGAAAATACTAAAGAACTCATACACAAGAATGTAGCGAATCCAGTAAAGCTGCAGGGTACAAGATCAACACACAGAAATCAGTTGTAATTTCTACACACCAGCAAGGAACAGCCTGAAAAGAAAATTAGAGGATAAAATACAGCAGGGAATAAATCAGTTACATTTGGAGGTGAAAGATTTGTATACTGAGACTAGAAAACATTGCCGAAAGAAACTAAAGACCACCTAAATAATTAGATACCCTGTTTTCACGCACTGGAAGACTACTTATTGTTAAGACGGCAACATTCTCCAAAGTGATCTACAGATTCAATGCAATCCCTATTGAAATTCCAAGGTTTTTTTTTGTAGAATTGGAAAAGCCAATATTCAAATTCATACAGAACTGCAAATGACAGAATAGTCAAAATAATGCTGAATAAGAAAAAGCTGGAGAACTCACACTTCCCAAACTTACTGCTTCAAAATGTACTACAAAAAACAACAGTCATCAAGGACAGTGTAGTAATACTAGTACACAGACCAATGGAAGAGGACAGAGTCCAGAGACGTGTCTGTAAACCATGGCCAACTGACTTCTGATGAGGGTGCCTACACCATTCAATGGGGGAAAGAGCAGTTTCTTCAGCAGGCGGTGATGGACATCCACATGCGAAAAAAATTAAACCAGACCCCTACTTCACACCACATACAAAACTGGCTCAAAATGGATCAAAGACTTAAATACAAAAGCTGAAACCACAAAACTCTTAAGAAGAAAAAAGGACTAAATCTTCGTAACCTGGGATTTGGCGATGGATTCTTAGATACAACACCAAAAGCATGAGTGACAAAAGGAAAAAACATGAACTGGACTTCATCAAAATTAGAAACTTTTGTAAATCAAAAGACATTATTAAGAATGTGAAAAGACAACTCAAAGGACAGGAGAAAATTTTTGCAAATCGTATCTGATAGGGGTCTGGTATCCATA